CCGCTGATGATCGCTGTCAACCACCAATAAATAAATAAATTAATACAGTTTAATGAAGTATTTAACTCATGAGACTTTGATTTAAACAAGTGATTTTCTTACTCGACGAATAATATGAATCGAAAACAAACACTATGTTTCAATTTTTTTTTTTACTCCCATCGAATTTAATACTTTACTATCACAAATGTATTTCTTATTAATAAATAACTTTTTGAAGTATATATATATTGAACAATTTTATCGTATTTAAAATTACATTTCAATACATGTTGTCATGCATATAATATTATGTAACGTATATCACAGGGCCAACTCAGACTACACTTTTTTCCACTGAAAATAGACGATTTACATGTGATATTGCATTCAAATATACATTCTCCGATCGAAATGAAAAATAACGATCGAGTGCCGAGTAAGTACCTATACTCAAGAGAAAAAAGAGCAATCAAAGCGGAGATAATGTTTATGGATGACGAATCAACAGAGTGTGGAAATAGGCATGAGCGTCGTGTGTGCACTGGTCGTACGGAATCGTAAACTGTGAAAACCGAAACCACATACGCTCGACAGACGGCCACAGAATGCAGCTCTGCAGACTCCGTGGACACGATGGAAAACCCATAATCCAATAGATCACGGTAGCAGTGGTTAATGAGATGCGTTTTATGGATGGGGAGAGACACGCCGAAAGTCATTTTTATTGGCCCTCTTTTATTGTCATCCGCACGCCCATGTACAGCCACGGCTGGAGAATTCACTCGACACCGAGGATACGTGGTGGTGCATGTAAACGGGCAATTCCACGAAAAATCTAAACGAAGTACAACTTCGAGGCAGAGTTCATTTAATTAAGTATCGGTTATGTGAAATTATTTTGTTGGGCTCTATTCACGCGACGTCAAAATTTTCGATGAAAAAAAAAAAAATTCATACGAGAAGTAAGAAAGTTTTTTTAATGATTTTTTTACTTTTTCCCGCAATTTTTGCGGATTTTCTCGTATTTAGGTACACGAGTGCACAACCCGTGACGAATCTGAATACGCGTGCCATTAGCTGATTATCCTTGAAGCCAAAAAGCGAGGGATCATCGGCCATTATACGCACAATCATATCTCTCCCCTTTTGTATTCCCACTGTTTGCGTAATCTAGATGGGCGGTGCTGGCTGTTACTGCTGTGAGACTAGCACGTACATATAGTAGTCGATAATAACCTTTCGAGTGGTTTGCCTCCCCCTTTCCCGGGACTCTGAAATAATAATTCTATTTGCAACGTAATATCTTTATTTTCTATTCAAAGGCGCCTCCCTCGCGTCAGAGATGCGCAATGACGATTTAATGGGCAATGCATGTGAAGGCCCTTTTATCGTTGGGTCCATAAATAATAGTACAACTGATTTCACAGTACGATAAAGGGTAAAACGCGTTAAGCTAACTCGTTTTTAATCATTTGATTTTTATCAACGCTATCGTTGTTTTAACCATGCTGTTATCAACTTTTCATCGATTTTCAAATTTTTTTTCTTATTATTTCGTAAAACAATAACATAATGTAGTATACATACAAATATGTACGAAATAATTAATATCAGAACAATCAAACTGAAATCATGTATAGCCAAAAATGTTCTACATACGGGCAGGGAAGGTAGGGAAGGCAGGGAAGGCAGAGTGTAAATTTTGTTTGTCCCATAGTATGCCCTTCGTAGGTCCTCGTACAGGCTACAATCACCTATGGTCAACTTTTCGTATGTTTCAAACATTAGTACATGGATAAACTATGAACAAAATCATGCAATGATAAAATCTAAAACGCAAATAATGAGAAATAATATGGAATTAACCAAAAGTGTCCTTGCGTCATAAAAAAAAGAAAAAAAAAAATGGTCATAGGTAGGGACAATATTACTGCCATCCAGAATAATCGTAATTATCAAAGTGGGTTAAGATAATTACTTATCCTCTTCATATGATGATCGCGCCTTCCCAAGACAGAAATAATTCCCCATAATAGGACACGTGACCTTTGTATCTGCACATCGCCAACTTCTCGCGCAACCCCCCCTTACGCTTTACGCCCCATAAACGATTGCACCACCTCTTGCGTATATAATGTTATGCCCTGCACTATCTCGAGACACATCGTACCAGCTTGACATTTGTACACAGAAGAACCTGTCAGACAAATACACGCGACCCGTTGTTTGTAACCCGCATTTCAACCTCTGCTCGGGTTTTTTTTTTTTTTTTTTTTTTTTTTTTTTTTCTCGTCTTCGCCTAAAAGCCGACGATGCGTTCGATGCCACATAATACGAGGGTACGTCACTTGTGACAGGCTCGTCATACTGTATACACACACGTGCCGGCCATATCGATTACTTCCGAGGAGCGAAATACCCAACACGTGCTGATGGATATCCCGCTTTTGCTTTTCTTTACACAGGGCTCTATTTTACATAATGTATCGCGCGCTGGATATCGTTTTGTGGTATTTGAATTTGCTCCCAAGTCAGAAGCGTCGAATTACAGTAGCTCGACGCTATTATTTATCGAAGCTCCCTCCTCTATGGGGCTTTTGTGGTCCAAGTTTTTTTTTTTTTTTTACCGATGAAAAGAAGCTTTAAGCCTTTTTTTTCATGAATGAAATGTACATCAAGCTATAGCACCACCAAGTGACAATACCTATTTCTAAATCTGCAAGCGAGTGGTGCTCAAACCGTGTGCCATTTACCAATTTGCCGCTGATCTTTTGGGGACTCGAGAAAGGGCCATTTTCGCGAGTATGCTGCTAGCTTGATTTACGTTGAAATAAACGTCACTTGGAATCCTTCAGAGTTTACTGGTGGGCTTTTGACACGGGGAGAGTTGAATATTAATTTCTGTACAAATGAACGTCAAAGGATGCATGTTGTTTAATTTTCTGTGAGATAACGGTGCGATAGTTTTAAGAGTAAATGGTCATCACATTGATTGGTCGGGTAATATGGTACTAAACACACAACTTTTCAACAAAAATAAGACGTTTATTAAAAACAAATATTTACCATTCTCGTTTACTTTTTACATCCAGTTTCTAACTCCAACCTATAATTGTATGTACATTAGATTTATTTCTATTAATTATCTTTGAATTTCTTAATGATACTAATTGAATATTTTACTACTAAAATTTATTTTAAACTAACAAGGTTATTATGAGCTTGTCGATTAACGGATTTTGGTAAAACTCAAGAAGATGGTTTATAATATTTTTTAATAAATAAACTAAATTCTAATCCCAACTCTATTATTCCCTGCGACTGAGTTGTAAGCATAAGCAATATCATTTTGCATGCATATTGAATTCCAAACAACAACGCCAGTGCCAACTGCCAAATGCCCATGTAAAATCTTACGAGATGGCAAAAATTTAAAGTTATGGTGTTCCAAACGGTATTCATTGAAAGTAGATGGAATCGTGTGTCATCTCAACCTATACAACAGTCACATTATCACAATCCGTTTCACCGTGTTTATGTTACTTTTCTTAGAAGTACTATTTCGTAAAAGTAAAAAAACAATTTTTGTTAAATATCACATTGAGTCGATTACATAATATATACAGACTTGGGCACAGATAGTTGGAAAATTTTTTTGAAATATAATTATTTGATAACAGTGTAAAGTATTGTTTTTTTTTAGTTACTAATGATAACCCAGTGCTAAAAAAATTTTTTTTCAGCTAAATCAATGCATTAAGATTTGAAAAAAAAAAAATTAATTTAGAAAAAAATCATCCAAATATTTGAATATTTTACCATAAATTATATTACATCAAAAATTATAAACTATTGTATCTAAAAACATTTAATTTATCTGATAGAAAAAATTGTATTCCCACTTTTATTGTGAATAGCAATGAATAAAAAATTTTTTTAGGAAAAAAGAATGTATTTACTCAAAAAAAAATTTTTTAAGTGTTACAAAATGAACAAAATAATTGTGCCAAAGTCTACAAATATGCAATATCTATACATAGTTTATCACCTTAACTTTCAAGTTATATTAGAGTATCTAATGTATAATAATTAAACGACATTATTACAGTAGGTACCGATTGCTATTATAATGCAATAAATATCATAAGTTTAGGAATGTTGTGTAAATAATATTTGGTCGATTTAATTGATGTATATTAATTGAAAGTATAAATATTTACATGCAAAGTACCATATTAAAGAAAAAGTGGATTGTGTACCAAGGTATTGTTTACACAATTATACACACGCTAACTACTTGAATCTCTTTTATTTGTTACTCTTTTTTCATAATAGTTACCTGCGTTGGGTACTATCTGAATCAACAGCTCATTAAAACTTTAATACTTCGTCTTCTACAACCAAAAAAAAAAAATATTTACGTTTTTTAAAAATACTTTTCAATGCTGCTACTGCACATTGTTGTGTGTACATTACATTTATATAACTTTTTTACAATAAATAATTTTTTTTACATAACACAACTATTATATACAAATTACGCACCCAAATGTTACTGTAGAAAGAAAATTAACATACATATTATTTAATTTTATAAATATGTCATGCAAATAAACCTCTGAATATTTTTTTTTTTTTTTTTTAACAAAATATTATAACTCTTAAACACATAATTCTCTTCATACAACCAACAACTATTCAGAAATCACAAACAGTGTAAAGTAAAAAATGTTTTCGTGAAAGTAAAGCGTTTCGTAAGAGCAAAAAACAACATCTAAAAGTTTCTTTCATTGCAGTACAAAAATAGCAAAAAAAATAAATAAATAAATAAATAAATATTGAGGGATTGTTTATCGAGTTACAATATATCATACTTCAAAATTTTATAGAAGGTAATCAAGCAAGAACCCGATAAAAATCTTATTGAACTTTGGGATTGTAACATGGATTTTTTAAACATATTTAATAAGAAATGGAAAAATGGTACGGAACATGAATGAATGCTCATGAAATTCGACTACTAGCCGGTTGGTACCTCTAAAAGCCACAGGTCCATTCGACCTAATCAACAGACATTGTTGAAAACACAAACGCAAACTGTCGTTGCTTACGTAAAAGGCGCACAGGCAAGCATCGTCTATCGAAATTCCCCGCAGCGCTTGAATCCATCGTTGCGAGTATCGGCAACTCGAACGAAAAATCTCGGCACCTTTGACCCGGGGGAGCAAAGCGCGAAACGCCTTCTCGCGTCTCAATACGTGCTCGGATTGACAACGTACTTGGGGTCGAAAATGGAGTTGACGTGATTTTTCGAGTACGGCTCCACGCTGACGCAACAGTGGCCCGAGTTGCTGATGGAGAGGACGCTCTCCACGCTGGTCGAGTTAGAGTTGATGATGTCCTCGCTGGACGTGCCGATCGACTTTTTGGAGCCGTTGAATTTCCCCGAGTCCCGCGTTGTCCCGCGCAACGAGCCGAGCAGTATCACCCCGAGGGTCGTGAAGGGGATTTCGAAGCAGCTGCTCAGGATGAGTGACATGATCATCGTGAGGAAAAGATTCCCGCAGAAGCTGTGCACTGTACCGAAGGTCGTGAAATCGCTCGATGTGCGCACTATTGCGATGTTGTAGAGGAGGACAATGTAATGGGTCAGGTAGGCGCTGTAGGTGAGCTTGGCCAGTGGCACCCAGAACCTCCACGACAGTAAACTGTTTATCACTCCTAAAAACAAACAATTGTTTATTTACACCCAACGGGGCCGAGACCAAGTATAAAAAGTACTTTATTTTCCTGAAAAATCGCCGGCCACGCGATATTTTCATCGCGTGACATTTATTTTGCGTACCATTGTTGAATAAACAAATTAGGTTTTACGGTCATTGGATCAAAGAGGAGGGTGCGTGGAAGTGAGGGTTGCTTTTTTGTTTTCGATAATTGAATAAATTAATTGGGAGGTATAAAGTAAGGGCAGGACGAAGTAAAGAAGAAAAAAGTTTTAAGGAAAATGACATTGCATTAGAAGTGGCATTGAAAGCATATGTTCAGGCAACTTATACAGAAAGAAGAAAAAAAGATTAAAGATAAGGATAGGGGAAAAGATCTGGTGTTGATTCAGTTTATTAATTTTGCAGTCAGATGAGATTCATAAATTTTCAAAAAAAGTTTGAAAATATTAATAGTCATCATGGCCATTAATATCCAATCTGCTGCATAAAATTATAAAAGGAAAATAAAATAGAATAGTTGAAGCATTTAAATATCAATGTTTAATTTTCAACAGGAATTTCAGATAAGAAAATCGTTTTCATGAACTGAGGAGAAAGTGCATTATTACTGTTAAAAAAGAGCATAAGAAGGGAGCAAATGAAAGAATGAATTTAAGAGAAAATGAGTACTATTCAAGAATATACTTCTATCAAAGGCTATTGCAGTATTTAATGCGTTACATATTGTTTAAGCAAAAAAAGGTTTTACATAATTTTGCCAGCAAAGCAGACACATTATTTTGAAAGCAAGCAAAACATTCCATCCTATGTATTGATCTGTAATCTTACCGGCGTATCCATTGACGGATGCGAAAATTATCCAACATATGGCAACGACAAACACGTGCCTGTGAAAACCTGCGTAAAAACTAGCCTCTAATCTGTCATAGGGGTGATCGTCGAAGTACATGCAACGGGGACCTACTATCGCCAACGAGCCGCTGATGATCGCTGTCAACCACCCGACGACAACAATCAACTGTTTCAATGGTAAATTTTTCAGAATAATGTTTTTGTTCAACATCAATTGCACTGAAAATCTTTGGTAATTATTTACTAGACGCAATAGCCAACTTACCGGGTGAATTTTCATCTTGTAGCCCCTGTTTTTGTACAACATGTAACCAAAAGCCAGCCCGATGATGTAAGGCCCAGCTCTCGTGTACACCCTTGTATATATTTGCAGATAGACGTCTTGTAGGTCTTTCAAGCTGTAACCAAACATTTTTTTTTTTTTATTAATATTATACAAATTCCTTTGAAATTAAATATTTGTTTGTTTGTTTTTTTTAATTTCGCGCTTACTCTTTGTAGTACAGCATAGTCCCGGTTAGACGCATGAAGTAGGTGATGAAAAACGGCAAGAGAACCGAGACGGTGATTCCAATGCTTGTCGCGATTTTGAAAAATAATCCACTGCTGAGCTTGAGCATCGGATAGAGAAAAATCGGCGATAGCCACAATAATTGCATGTCAACCGATAAATACCAACTTTGAGACATGCACTGAAATGAAAAAAAAAAAAAAAGGGAAAAAAATTCTCGATGTAATTATATTCCTGTTCATCTCGGTTGCACAAGGGAATTGTTTGATCTGTACTCACACTGTTGGCGACATTTACGTAATTATTGACGTACAAAAGATTCGTCCACCAATTGGCTCGACAGTTGTTTTTATCGGTGCCGATCCAAATGCTCCAGCGAGGACCCGAACCCAATTTTTCGAACAACGTCGCATAAAATCCCACGACGATCGCGTAAGCCGGAGTCAATCTGCACCGAAGGACAACTTATTTTAAGATTTTATGATTTATTACATTCGAGACATATAGCATATACTATGATTATTATTATCATTATTATCATTATTATTATTATTATTGTGAACGGTTTAGTAAAGTAAAAGAAATCCTTAAAAAGTGGAAGTAAAAAAAGCACGAAGAAAAGTTTCGTCACCTGATGTAGCGACCCAGATAAAGATGGAAGACGTTGAAGGAAGATTTCGACTCTTTGCCTGTCTTGGCCAAGGACGTGTAGGCCAGGAGAATGCCGCTGAGAAGGAAAAAGGCATCGGTGACGATGTTACTGTTGAGCACGAGCATCGAGCTCCACTCCACGTGCATCTGTTGGAGCAATCGAAACAAAAGCCCGAATTAATTTACGAAAAGTCCATGCTGAGCAGGAAGTTGTTGCGCAATATCTCCGAGGCTTGTATGTGCGTACAAGTATTTTGTAACAGGATTTTTTTTTCATATTTTTTTTTTTTTTTTTTTTTTTGCGTAATGTATCGCTTTTTGCTAACGCAGAATGATTCGCAAAAGTATCTCCGTGAACGCGGGTGCGTACATATAATATACGTCATCGTTGGCGCTGTTAAATAGCGTATTTCGATCGATGATAATTGCGCAGTTGGAAATTTCTTTATCAATAAAGGAGGAAAATACGAGGCTTATTGAAAGCTGCGATGCTTTATGTTGAAAATTGCGCGCGCGTGTGTGGCTGTACATGTTGGCATGTGTATACGTATACCTATCGCTTGCGCCTGAGAAGCATGGCTTTATATCAAACCTAATATAGAAGTATTAGAGTGATTGAACCGATGACATTCGCTGATTTGTGTGCATGGGTTTACAATCTATTGTACATGACGACTGTTTGGTTCGAAATTCTTTATTTATTTATTTATTTATTTATTTATTTATTTTTTTTTTTTTTTATCAAGTGACGCGCTTTTTCATACATTAAGTAAACTATAAATTTTAGCTAATTATGTGCAATGAGTGTTACTACCTTTTTTTTACTTTTAATAATATACAATTTACGTATTTCTGTTTCAACCGAATTCAATTGTTGAATTTCCTTTATCATTAAATCATTATTGTTGATTTTATTACTTTCATTATCTTTATATTTAAAAAACATTATTCTTACGATGGCTGTCGACTTTTTTTAAACTACATCTTTTGAACTTCAACCAATTACATGGATTTTATAAATACCCATACTGCAACCTGTGAGTAGATAATTAAATCTAAATCCCATCTGTTTTTTCTATTTTTTTTCTATTTTTTTTTTTTTTTTTTTACAAAAAAGAGCACATCATATTATCTCTTATTTTGTTAAAATTTTATTTGTTTATCTATTTATTTATTTTTTATTAAAATAAAGTATTCTACGGAGTCATTTTTATCCATCGCGACTTGGTTAACTGTACACCCCATATACTTTTAGTTTTGTTATTATTAATCGTCGATTCTGGTTTATTTCTCTTTGATTAACATGTTATTTTTTTACTTATTCAAAACGATTCAGTGAAAATTTAATTTACTAATTTGATCGCAAAACCAATCTAACTGATAAAATTAGCTGATATTTTTATGCGAATTATCTGATCTTTCAGTAAATTTCATTAATTTATCAGTTAAATGTAGATTTTACTCTTTTGCAGTGACATAATTCGAGCTATTGCACAAGAAAAAAAATCGAGATGTATAATACAATAACATTGGCTTTGTCTCTGATAAGGGAATATTGAGGTAAATAAACACATTAGCTTTCCGATATCAGTAGGTAGTTCTTTGACGATTTATCTTATGGATAATGGAAATAACGATCGTAATTTTGTTCTGATAATTGCAATTCAATCTAAAAAATTTGGTGGATTGCAGTTGCGGTGGATTGGAGGACTAGCTTCATTCAAATCTTTTTTTTAATTTTTTTTTTTTTTGTAAAAAAATTGTTTAGTTTTCCTAACTCGGGCACCTACGTGAAAGTTAAAACAAAAAATTATTCAATTCCGTTTACATAATTTGTCGTCATAATACAGTATGCATGTAATGGACATGTACCTACTGATTCGTTTTTCATGCACTAATATTACGAATACAATTTGATTTTATGCACTGCACGATTAAAAGCACAGATTAGTCTCTCTCGTTTGTAACCCTGGGCTTACGCGTTAGCTTTACGGAGCTTACATCAACTTGTCATTGAAATCTGCGATAATTTATTTTTAACGCCCAATCACCCGCTAACTTCGAAACAATAGTAAACAATCGTATGCCTTACACATACACACACACACATCAGACGAGTACTTGACCGTTGCACTTAACGATCATACGATGCGCAAAAAAAGAAACTCAATCAAGGCTAACTAGCCGAGAAGGCTAAAATAACAATTTAAAAAAAAAAAAAAATGTCCGATAACTGCATCAGTGAATTTTGTGTGTATCAGTATATACGTTTACGCGCCGACCTTTCCAATAAAAGCTTACAAAGCAGCACATATACCCGTATCTAGCAATGACGATGTGATGATGATGGTGATAGTGATAATCGTAGCCTTGACGTGGCCTGCGCGGTGATTTTGCCTTGTGTACCGATTAGACAGACGATATAATAATTATAACATTTGATTTACATGAGCAAAGTTGGTGCAAAGGAAGGGGGAAAAAAAAAAGTTTGACAAAACTCTTGGTCGTGTTACGCGTAGAAGCTCAAGTACAGAATCGCGTCGCTAAACATTGTTGTAAACGCGCGCGAGAATGCCCGTCAGCATTGACCCGATTGTGCCGCAAGGCGATCGTCGTTTTGCTGAAAATTTTAATGAAACGTCGTCTCGTGTTTCTTCCTTACCATTGCTCTGATACTTTTAAGTAATTGGTCGCTCAAAGACACGCTTCCTATATAGAAGCACGAAACGTTTTAAAAATGTTGAATGTGTCCGCATCTATTATATTTTATATATTTTATTTACAACATTTTTACTGCATCGATTTGAGTTTTTTACATTCACAACTGTAGATTTTATATTGATTTTTTTAAGATGTTTAAAATTTTTTTAATATTTGCTGCTGTTTCAAATGTATTTTAACTGGCCAGTCTCGATGTCGATATGTAGTTGTCCAATTACTTTTTAGAATTCAATTTGTGCAGATGTTTTGAGATGATAGTATCAGAAACAAAAATTTAATTAAGCTTGTTATACATAAAATCAATAACGTGATTATCTGCGTTTTAAAGCTGCAGTTATAGTTTGTTCATCCATTTTATTTGGCGTATGTAAAATGTTGTGATAACTTTGTAATCACAGTATCATTATGACTCTGGTATAACATAATATAGACAAATCCAACGTTTTCAAAACGTTCGTACAACATTTTTCAACCTTTGTTTTCGTTGCAACATTAAAAAAAAAAATTTTTTTTGCAACGTTACTAAAACATTGTGTGCTGTAAGGAAGCACCTAGAGGTATCCTCCTATCCCAGTATATCTTTGTTTTGCTAATGATTTGAGTGTGTTTGTCAAGTTTGTCAAAAAAATTTCGTTATGCGTACCTTTAACATTTGACTGCGGTCCATTTTAACGCCAACGGCCTCGAGAAAGAAGGTGTGACCAAAAATTACCCAGCAGATGCTGATGAACCTGATTCCGTCCAGACATTCGATGCAATTCGAGCTTCTTTTGGTGCTCAGCAGCTTTTTTCCATTCGTGTACACGGAAAACGCCGTCAACAGCTTGTGTCGGGTTCCTACATGACAATTTTAACAAACGAACGATTCAACCCTTTTGTTTCGATCCAAATATAAAAGGTAATCAGGTCTGTTGTTTTCCTTCTTTTTCTTCTTTTTTTTTCTTTTTTTTTTTTTTTTTTTTTTTTTTTTTTTTTTTAATTGATTGATGAATGAATCGTGCGATATAATACAACACAAGGAAGAACAAAAAAATACACTCTCACTTGGACGATGAAAGTCAATGATTCCGAATCGTAAAACAATTGGGAGCCCGTAATGGAGTATGCGTACCTTTGCGCTTGCGTTCCTCAATGTCGTGCTTTGTGTGAAGATCGTACCAGGTGCTGGCTACGATTATCGCCAGAAAAACCAACACTACGCCACTGCAAACAATTTTTGGATATTTTTTATATTTACGCGCTATACCAAAGATTTATAGAGGTATTAGTGACTTTTTTTTCAATGCATCTCTCAATCATTGTTTACTGGATGTTTGCGAAAAATGAGTATTTTTTTTTCTTAAAATTTTCGTCACTCAAACGCGCATTGAGCTTCAAAGTTGTTTGATGCGGCAAACATACGTTGATCTCGTTATTGGTGCTTATATAAGTAGTGTATAGGTGAACAAAAGTGAAGGAAAATTTGGCCGAAAACTAACGTGTATAACCAATCCACGAGGTCGAAGGGATATCTGTCGGAACTAGACGAGCGGCAGGAATTGGCGTTGACGTTTACCGTGAAATCCAGCCGGTCCTCCACCTTGAGGGGATCGAGGGCGAGCTCTATAGCTTCGCCGATCTCCGTGTGGTTGCAGGTCGACGGCACGCACCACATCCACTCGTAATCTACCGTCTTTTCCACGGGATTCTTGGAATTCTTCCAACAAAAATTATGAATTTTTTACCATTTTTATACAAAGTATATTTTTTGTGCACTACGTGTACACATGAGCTTTTAGCTATTGCAATTTATTTGGTATACTACATCCAGTTACGCAACTGTTTGTGTAACCATAAACAAAACTTTAAAAAAGCCAACAGATCGATTCTCAACGTTTATCCGACTTTCGTAAAAAAAAATTATAAAAAATGTATACACCGAAAATAAGAAGAGGGGGGCCCTCAGGACTAAAAGATATTGGTTCTAATAAATACTTAAAAGCTCCAACGTACTATTCATTTGTATTTTCTCAATTTGCACACGTGTATTATTAACTAATAATCTACCATATACAATAGCAGATGCAGTAGTAAGGGATGAGAGTAAAATTACCGAAGCCTCGGCGACTCGTAGCAGCAGGTCCTTCATGTCCAATTCCTGAGAAACCCTTGGTCCTTTTAAAATCTCAAACCTTACGGAAGCACTGCAAACTTGGGCATTGAACGTCTGATCCGTTTGGACTCGCAGGCATTCGTCATAATTTCCCAGCTGCTGTATATTGCCGGTTATAATTCCTGGGGAAATTTTTGCCGACGCATCGTACACTGCAAAAAAAATTGTTTTTCAAATCAGTTGTTTTATAACGCATAAAAAGTATTTACGTGATTTTAAACAATGCAATGTATTGAAAAAACAGTGAATTTCAGATAAAATAAACAACTATTATGTGGACGATTTGGAAATATTCTAACATAGATAAACGATAATGCCTGTATTTTTGAATAACGAATATCCATGAAAAATTTTTAGTATTAATAAATAACAATTAGTTTTGCAAAAATTACTAGAGGTTGAAAAACACACCAAAATCATTCAATGTAAGTTATAAGCGAAAAAGGAAAAATTACCCCCAAGTAAGGCCTAAATTAAAGTTTAAGTGGTAGACTCAATAAGTGTAGTACGTTTTTCAATTTTAATAATTTTTTTAAATTAAATAAATCATTATAAAATATTATTAATTATTAATGACATTCATTGTTTAGTAGTATGGACGTTGGTGGTTTATAATATGAAAAATAAGATAAAAAGAAACAAGGATGTACCCCTACCTGGAGAAATCGCATATATGCATTAAAATATTTATTAATAACTTTTCTTGTCATACCTTTGGAATGATTAATCAGTATTCGGTATACCTAATCGTAAAAAAAGGTGAATTTCAATGCCTCACTAATCTGAGTTAGAGCAAGTGATTTTATACAAGTTATCCTTGTCGGATTGTTTAATTGTTTAATTGATGTAATCAACGAAGGAATATCTAGTTACGACTAATGAGGATGATAAAGCCTATAATTGAACAAAAATAGAGCTGCTAATTATACATCAGCTCGATCATTTCTCTTAACGTGAACTATCGTCTTTTTTGATTGAGATATTAAGTTCTTATCGTTTGCCAATGTCGTCAATTCTTTACGAATTAGTGAGACTTATAAAATATTTTGAGTAAATAAGTTGCTTTTTTTCGATCATCCAACCATCATACTTTGTTACGATGATTAAACAGTAATCGACAACTGTAAAACGAACCGAGAGGATATTTAGTCCATGAAATCATTTGGACTTTTCTTAACGAAATGAATATTATATGCTCCATATTACGTATATTACCATTTTACAGAATATTATATGTAAAATAACTGTAAAATGTTATATTGACTATTTTTAAATTCAGTATTCGAATTATAACGAGTGCCTTGAATAGTTATGAAATAAAAAATAAAAGCAGGAGAATGTGTAACTGAAATCAAAGAGCATTACAAGAAAGAAGAGACAGGCGGGTTACCAAATCTTTAAAATAAGAACTGTGAGCTATAAAAAATAGGGTTGAATCTAAACGGACAGGTGTGTCAATTAAAGCTTCCGAAGAAGTGGATGACGCAGATAATACACGAAAACTGTGCGAGAGTTAAAAAATGGGGGGAGAGAGGGAAAATAGAGAAAAATTAAAATTCAATACAGTAATCAGAATTGAAGCGAAACTATAGTTAGATTGGGAGAAAATTAACAGATCTAAGTGTAGGATGAAAACCGAAAATATATAGAGAAGGAGTAGAAGGAGAAAATTACGGTAAGGATAAAAATACAAAAAATAAATGAAAAGGTAAATAACGATTGTCGAGAATTCAATGCGGTAATGAAGGGAAAAGGAGAAACAAAGATTTTACAGAATTTACATGTAGATTTACCAAAGTGGAAGGGACAAGTCACGTGTAAAAAAATAACAATAAAAGATGGGTCGAAGTAATTGATAGATAGGAACTAAAGGACAAAAGGAATACTTTAGTCTATGGGCTACAGAATTGCTAAAAGGGGAAACAAAGAAAACGTTTTGTATTGTAAAGGATTTGCATGTGCTACCGGTCAAGAAAAAAGTTTGGATGACAAAAAGTAAACAAAGTTAAAAGTAAGGCAAACCAAGAATGGTGCAAGAAAGAGATTTTATTTGTATTTAAATTACTAAATGTTTAAATAGCTTGATTATGTAAATTTATACAAGAAAGAATAAAATGAAAATTAGAATTTATTCATAAAAATATCATTAAGTTGAGAAAATGTAAAAAAAAAAAAAAAAAAAAAAAATTTGTAAAATGATGTTAAAAGACTGATAAGAAAATTTAATTACTGCATTAGGTGATGTAACAATGAAATTTATTTGAAGCAATGCAGAGTGATATTTTGTAATGATTGTGATAAAATGTTGTATGACTGTGCATAAATATAAAAATAAATACAATATGTTGTATAAATCATTACATCATTTGGAAAATATTAAAAATAATGTAACTCCTTTTACTTATTTAAGAGTAATACATTTTCGAAACAAATGCATCTTACTTTGTTAATCGCTACAATACGAAATGTACATCATCAATAAAACCTAATACGTTAAAATAAAACAAGCTTTACCGTGTGTCTATACGATTAGTCACTGAACTTGGGATATTTTTGAAATAAAAATAGCATACCACGTGTGCAGTTGACAGAAAATTTGACACGTGATGGAAGAACATCATTAGATTTGCATTGAGAACAACTCTCACATACAATTGGGACGAGAGTTTAGCCACACTACGAAATCCACAACGACATAATATAAACTTAGAGAAGAAGAAGAAGAAGAAGAAGAATATCTTTATAAGTTTAAGGAAAATTCACTTGGTGAGATATATTTTTGCGTGATTGTAAGTCAACGGCGGGTGTAATGAACTCTTACGCACTTAAAGTGCGTTTATTCCAGTGTATCGCGTATAGTACACGAGATATCCCGATATTAGAACTAAAGAGACTCGTGAAGTGCGCATTATTAGATGGATAAAGGGAGATAGAGAGATGCTGACGACGAATCGGTGTCGACATGTGAAATCATCATCGGTCTTTTGTTCTATCAGTGAAAAAGAGCTATAGTAGGAGAGATCATCGAGAGACCACCTATGAGATTTATAGGCAAGAATACATATTATCGGCAATCAGTGAAATGCTTCTAAGTGTGTACTCTATAATAGAGTAGATCACGTGACAGCTGCCGCTGCTTATCATATTCTTTTTCCTCAACTAAATAAATCGATGATTTATGGCTTGTGCGTAGTTGTTGTATGTTGTATTGCGTTATTGTCTTTTTGTACGGAAGTGCACGAGACTCGCTTACTAGAAATTAATGCCATTACATCTATAAATGGATAAAAGTTTAAGTTTTTGTTTTCTTCTTATTTTCACCAATTTTGTTTGGATCTGCAATTGTTGTAGTGAAGATAACTTATGATACATACAAAATTTTTTATTTTTTTTATAAGGTTTTTGAACAGACGTATCGACGAAGTCAAATCATCAATTGCCATTTTTATGATGAATTGTCAAAAAATACTGGGACTTTGATAAACGTTTGCCAAGATCGAGGGTATCAAGAATTTCTTTGCCACTCCTGTTGCAGTCGTTTTTGGTACCTTTTTTTATAGTCACAACTGCATGTCTTTAATAAAAAAAATTATATAATTACGAAACTTTATGTCGTGTTAAAAAGAGTGATGGCATAAAAATGTCGTAAAAACGTAACTAATTTCATTTTATAATGGAAAAGTAATCAATTGAACTTACGGATTAAAATTAAGATTTAATAAAAGTTTTAATAGTATTGTAATAAATTTACTGTTCACATTATTAGTCATGTACTATATTGCATATTAATACATTTTTTTGCAATTCGCAGTGACATAATTTTATAATTCTTTCAATCAGAATTCACTCTGAATTACTAATTTTTTTTAGACTCAAACTTTCACCAGCGATGTATGTGCGCTATTGAACTATGAATTGAATACTCATAATAATAGCTACCCTGGTATGTAGCCTATCTACCGGATGCTGATCGAAATCATTCGTGTCTGCATAAAATTTTTAATTTGGATCACGTAAGTTTCTGATTCGATAAAAAAAAAAAAAAAAAAAAAAATTGCTAAGCTGCATACAATCTTTGTAACTACTTATTAAAGTTGTAGACATCTTAGTGTAGTAACATGTCATTCTACTAACACATTACAGGTCACAGCTAATTAATTATCAGTTACAAAAAGCTTTAACAAATTTGTTGCAGCCAGAAGGCTTAAAGTTTAAAATAATAAGAAAATAAAACACAACGTAGGCTAGTAACAGAGAGAGACGACGAAAGTCGGAAGGGCAGATGTCACGAGACGGCGACCGCTCGTCGCTTGTCGGCGGCGATCGGGCGTTCTCGACTCTATCAACAGGCCCGCTCATTTCTTGAAGCAGTCCTCGTAGCGCTGCGAGAAAGAGAGCATCTCGAAGGAGCTCTGCATGGCCTTGCACGGATTTATCGTGCCGAGAAATCACGCTAGTGAGTACGTTCTCGTCGTCGTGTCGCTGAATGCGCCCGGGTTCACAGCTCGAAACGTGACTTACGTTGAGTGTGGGCTACGTGAGACGAGAGGTCAACAGTGATTATGAATTAATCACTGGTTAAATTAAGATCTTGGGGCCCCGTCGTGCGTTTATTTGCGTCTTTATTAACTGTGTATTCGGTCAAAATCGTTATCGAAAAATTTTAAAAGTTAACGTTTCTTTATGCTTGTATTTTTAATCAAATAAAAACCAATTACTGTTTGTACGTACTGGAAAGTGAATTTCATTTGAACTGTGAATTAACCAGCATTTATTTGGACTATAAAAACCAATATTAATAATAATTTTACATCAATTTGGGACTATACAAAATTTAATACAACACTAAAATAATAGACCTTGGACTATTTATTTTTTGGGTTGTTAATCACAATGTCAAAACTAAAATTGCTCTACTGTATTAAAATTTTCAGATCTCTAAATATCAGAGTTCATACCTTCGAAGAAAAAGAAATGTTTTATTATTAGAAAAAAAATCATAACATAATTGAACAACTGTTAGATAATCATTCAACGGTTAAAAAATCTTACACAATAATATCAATGTCACACCTCTCGCTTAACTAAGATATATAGTGACCTTGAGTGTATTTATCTCAGTGCATTGAACTTGCTACTCTCAAATACTTTT